TCAGAAGGCACTGGGGGGGTGAGGAGGTGATGAGTTGCAAATGCTTTGAAGGTGGCAGGGGGCTGCTCCAGCCCCTTCCAGTTAACCGATAAGCCTCAGCCCTTAAGAGGCTACCAGTTAACCTTTTGGATCCCTACATTGGCCCATAATCATATATGGAAATTAATAAATTTGTAACCCAATCTTTTACCAGAGGAGAGCACACTTTTAATCTGTAAACTTTGTTTTAAGAGAAAGTTTATCTGATATTCCAGGGCCTTTTCTGTTGGTTCAGGATCATTACTCTCGGTTTTCTATTAACTAGTTTACAGGGTAGATATCAAAGTTATTATTTGTCTGATATTACTCGTTCCCCTCCAAGTACATAGCTCATAACTGTGATGTGCCAGTAATATGAGACTTGTTCTGACTTGAGCTTCTGAGCTGTTAGTTAAACCATGACTGAGAAAAGTGAGGAATCTGTACCTTTGCTATCTCTACAGCAAGAATCTGTGGCCTATGTTCTGTTTAATGTTAACCAGGTAGGATTTGCACTTTGTTCCTTTAAGCAGAAAGTAATAAGATACCGATTTGCTTGTATGTACATTACATGTTTGTTCAAATACTTAGAAGGGCAAAGATTGTTTTAATATGTTAATGATTTGACTTTATACTTCCTCTGAAATTTCCTACTGCACTTATGGTTCACATACTAATTAAAAGTAGTTCTCTTTTCTGATACTGCTTGTATTTTCTTTGAATGTGAAATTGATTGCAGCACTTTGGGGGTTTTTTTTTTTTGGCAAATAATGGGCTTGGTGAGCATATCCTTGTTTCTAGACTATCCAGGGAGTAAACTACACATACAGAAATTTCTTTTTATTTTCCTGAGTGTTTGTTTCCATTTAAATTGTGATCCTATAGTCAGCATGGTTTTCTCTTTGGCTGCTTCATTGCGTTTTCTGAGAGCTGCAGGTTTTCGTTTTTGTCTTTTAACTCTGTTTAAGGGTGCATACGTTCAGCCAGGAATGATATTATGAGGAAATGATGAAAAAGTGAAACACAATCCACAAGAATCAGGATCCCTAAATTGTAGACCTTAACTAATCTCAGTGTGCTTCCCCATATGTCTGCACTGCAGCTGGAAGATGTTTGGCTGGGTATTATGTATACTTGTTAGCTTTGCTTAAGCTACTATGCTAAAAATAAAAGTGCTGCTGCTCACAGCCCCTCTCCTGGGGAGTGGGAGCCACGTGGCAATTTTTCATTCATCTGGCAATTGACTGGGCGTAGGGATGTAAAGGACTTGTCGACTAGTCATCCCTCTCCCCTCTTGCTCCCTCTATCAGATAGAGGCAGCAAGGGGGAGGGAAGAAGTCAGGAGTACTTAAAAGCGGCAGCGCCACATGGAGCCTGGGGTCAGCTGCTCCATGCTGCGCTGCCGCGGGGAGCCCAGCTTCAGGCTTATCACGGCATTTCAAAGCAGCAGCGCTGTGTGAAGCCGGGGGTCAGCTGGGGATTGACCCTGGGCTCTATGCGGCGTGCCAGCTTTGAAATGTACAAGAGTCCCCAATGGGGGCTCTTGTGCATTTCAAAGAGGAAGTGCAACATGGAGTCTGGGGCCAGGGCGAATCCCCTACTGACCCGAGACTCCATCCGACTCTTCTGCTTTCGAAGCGGAAGCGCTCATGTGGAGCCCAGAGTCAGCAAGACTTCCAGCTGGCCCTGGGCTCCACACAGTGTTCCAACTTTGAAATGCACAGTGGGGGCTCTTGTACATTTCAGAGGCAGAATGTGGAAGTGCTTATCAACTAGTCGAGTAGTCAATAGAAATTCCATCAACTACTTGACTAGTAAATTCATTGCTACTCAACTGGATCTTCACCTAACTGGACCTTCACCATCAATTTCTAAAGATTCAAGCATAAAAAATGTGTAGCCCATTTGATTACAAATGTAACATTGTAAATGTGAACGGAATGTAATCTGATGCAGAACATTGTTGCAGAAACCATTCTGCTTACTCTCCCACAACCCCTAGAAAAACACACACAGTTCTTTTGCAGCAACCAGTAATTTAAGGGAGGAAGAGCGCTCCTTTTCACTTCCAGCATCTTGAGTAGAGTGAACTTCAAACTTACCAGAAAACAAGTCAGCCCCTCTCCTCGCCCCCTCCCCCAAGGGCTCAGCATCATCACCTTTACAGAAATTTGGTGTCAATTGGAGGGGAAAAATGATTTACCAAAAAAAAAAAAGATTAATTTTAACTTATTTTAGTGTTCTAATTGTTAGTAGAATTTTAGATTTTGCATACAGATCTTTTGGTTAAGAAGATTCATACTTTAAATACTCATCTACATTGGGAGGGCAGAGTCCAGAAGCCTCAATAACATTATCATGAGAACACCACAAATACAAAACTGATGACCAAATATCCTGTGCTGTATTTCCAATCAACACCCCTTTCTGATATCAACTTTCATAAGCCAAGATGGCTATAATGCTGCTTCCAAACCATACTCCTTTATCAGTGGTTACTGACTAAAATCATTTGGAATTTGTGCTTTTAGCTTGTTGTTTAGCTGCTTTTGAAAATTGCACGCTTAGGTGCTTAAGTGCAGATTTAGGTGGCTATTCAGCAGCTTGAGAGGTCAGACCTAGGACTACATTTAACAGGAGAGTATGTGGGTCATGCTGATGTGGATTCCATCCTGGTATTTCATATCTAACAAGTGTCAAATTTTTCAGTTCTGCCTCCTATACATCACTGTAAGCTGCCCTTTTCAGCTAGTGCTCTACTGTCAAGAAGCGGAATAACCAGGAAGAGTCCTCTCCTTTTGGGCCATATAAGAGGCTTTCTGTCCCTTAGCTTGTACCCGTTCTGCTCCCATTTTGTGCATCAGTATAGAGCTAAGGGTGTAAAGCAAGGGTTGGGAGGCAGAAATATAAATACCCCTTATGAAATAAACTGTAAAGAGACTTCTCAGCTCGAGGGAAGGAAGGGAAGGAATGGAAGCAAAATCAGCCCTTGTCACATAGAGGTGAAGTGGCTATTAGGGATGTAAAATCCCGTTTAATTAGTTAACCTGTTAAAATATAACATTTAACTGGTTAACTGCTTTAAATAGAGGTGGGCGGGGGGGCTGGACCGGCCCCCTGCTGTGGGCGGGAGCTGCTCCAGGTGGGCAGGAGCGGCCCTGTGGTGTGGCGTGGCGTGGTGGGTCCGGCTAGCCTGGAGCGGCCTATTGCCTGTGCTGCCAAGTAACCATACCTGGTAAGCATCATCCAGTAGGGCTATGGAGGCATAGCAACACAGGCGTCTTTCATCTCAGTTGTAAGGCCTTAGAAGCCAGCTGAAAAGTGTAAAGAAAAAATCATGGAAAAAACAAGCAGGTGCCAAAATTCACTACTTCAAACTCTGCTGTTTGCTGTGTTCCAAGCAGTAAATTCTTTCTGTCAGGGAATGTTGTGTCTCTTGTCCATAGAGCACCTACCTGTATTGAGGCTATATAATTAACAATTGAAATATTCTATAATTAAGATAATTTTGAATTCAATAATTGATTCTTCATAATTGAAAGGTCTATCTCTTACATTATTAATGGAGACATACCCACTGAATTCAGAAAATGATGGGTAACCAGTGTTGCTGATTTTTAGGGTCAAGAAACGGCTAGAATGAATAGTGGATGTGTCGTCCATATACATTTGTGTTATACTGAATATTTATTCCAAAGGACTGATTGTTCTACAGCTATACAAAGAAAAATTAGACATGTTGGTAAAAACTGATGGACACAGGCAATTAAATGTTTGGACTATCTTTGAATAAAGGTTCAAGCAAAAAAGCGACATATCATACCAAGTTATGTATATCGATCATTCTACTGATGAACCAGGCAATTTCTATTCAGAAGCATATTGCTGAATTCTAAATGGGTAAGACCCAACAAGAAAGAGAAAAGAATAGTTTGCCTCAGTTTTCATATTTGATATATTCTTCCAAAATGTATCATTATAAATATTAAAAATCAGGATCAGGAAATGTATTCCTGTTTTTCAAGGGACATGTTAATATTTTTCTCCAATATTAGAGAAAAGGGATTATCAAATTGGAAACTGATAATCTAAACTGTATCTCTTTTGTGAGGATAAAAAAATCCATGCACTCACTCAAGTTCATTCATCATGAGAATTGAGTTTTTAATTTAAATTTTAAAAATACCCTTTTTAATTTAAAAATGACAAGTGTCCGAGATTTTTATTACTATTCATGCATCAGTTTTTCTTACTTAAAATACTGTACAACTGTGGGAAAGCCATACCAGACCAATTTGTAGAGTTTCTTTCCAGCTTTAATAATGGTATTATGTACTGTAATGAGTGTAAACAGCATAGAGACTGGTTTTGGAATATTTTTTGTTGCTTTCATGCAACTAATGTCATAAATGTCACATTGCCAGTGCCACCATCTTCAGTAATAGTGTAAGAAATTACAATTGATGCATTGGGCTAACATCTACTTTCAGAGCATTCCTTGACAGTATCTCCATCCAAGGACAAACAATGGGCTCTTTAAATTGAAATTACACAAATTATGTAGAAAACAAATCCATGCTATTAAGCAAAAGCAACATCAATGTCAACAATTTGTGTTGTTTTGGAATTAAATGCTTTATATGCTTACATTCTATCCACAGTTCTCATGCAGTATATGGTAAACAGTGTTCCCTGTAAGCAATGCTATTGTGTGGCCATTTGGCTTTTCAAATGCTCCTAAGCTGATTATCAGAGTGCGTGCACGTAGGTTTTTTGTTTCTACTGGTGGTATACATTTACACATGTCTTGGTCCACATAAAAATTTAGCCCATGCATGGATGGAAAAGATTATAGGGAACATTGATTGTAAATGCTGTTGTTTAGGTCCTTGCTGCTGAAGCAATATGACAGTAAATAGTAAAGTGTGCATTTCCCACTCCACAGCCTCCTTGCCTTAGCATATAGAATATGGCAGACAGATGCTTACAGAAATGGAATTTCTTATCTTGCAGAATGACAACAGTGAGAGGCGGCGCCATGATAATTGTGAACGAAGGCGTAATGACAATCCCGAATCAGAGACTAACGGGCAACCACAGAATAGCACGCAGCAAGTGGTGGAACAGGAGGAAGAAGATGAGGAGTTGACTTTGAAATATGGGGCAAAGCATGTGATTATGCTTTTTGTACCTGTCACACTTTGCATGGTGGTAGTTGTTGCAACCATCAAGTCAGTCAGCTTTTATACACGAAAAGATGGACAGCTGTATGTATCCTTTTTTATTATTGTTTGGGTCTACTGAAGATCCTTTTCTTTACTCTGTGTCTGCACACCTTCAAGTACTTATGTTATCCACTGACCTTTTCTGTAGCCCAAGCCCAGCCCTATTTTCAGCTATGTTCCCAGCTCCTGTCACCCTGGAGACTCATCCAGACTGGTTTCTCCTACCAGGCCAAGCCAATTTTTCTTGTACTGGTGTAAGTTAAAGGACTTACAAAGAGGAACTTCAGGTTTCACCACTAGAGCTTTGTCAATAATTTCATCTCTCCCCCGTAGGAGTACCTCTAAAGATCATTTGTTTGCCTTTACTTCAATCTGAATCCTGACCTTTCACTTATTAATATTTTGTGCCTTTCTGTGAGGTTTACATGGTATGGACTCAATTCAGAGCACCATACATGAAAGTTGCATTCCGTTAAAAATTAAAGCTTTATTAGAGAAGGAAAAATGAGAATTTTATGAACATCCATATGTATGTAGGGTTTGAGGTTTGCTTATGTTGCTTGTGGACAAAGAAATAAGTTCATTAGTAAGAGCTGCCCAGAAATGTCCAATAGAATGTTTCACTTTCAACAGATCTGCATTTTCCAGTGGAAAAATATTTTGTGGACATGTTGAATGTAACAAAAAATCATTTTGTGTGGGAGAGGGGGACTGACAACTTTTTGATAATGGCAAAACGTATTTGGTTTGTGGCTTCAAAATGTGTATTATATGTTAAAATCAGAACAAAACATTATGTGATCTAAAATTACTGTTTTCAATTTCATTAGGTTAGGAAGTCTTGCTATTTTGTGTGTTTGGAACAGATTTTTTTTATTAACTCTAGGAATTTCCCATGGAACAGAAAATCTAATTCCTGCTCTGTTCTTTTCATGTTTATGTTTGTGTTGTGTTTTATTGAATATCCACTAGATGGTGTGTGCACAAAGGCCAAACTATACTTAGTGTGACCTAATTTACATTTACTTGCATGCTATAAAAATAGTTTTTAAATTTGGGTTGCTCTCTTACTAAGCAGAAAATAACTGTCCTTTTTGTAACCTTGATTTGAGAGATAAGTGCTGAGACTTCAAAAGGGAAATTGGCTTTACATATCTACGTATTGATCGTGGGCTTTTATCTAGACAACATTTATGTGGTGTATAGATTGGAATTTCATTTCCTTTTTTTTTTTTTTTTTTTTTTTTTTTGGTCTGTATTGTAGTATCTACACTCCATTCACTGAAGATACAGAGACTGTGGGACAGAGAGCCCTGAACTCTATTCTCAATGCTACCATCATGATCAGTGTCATAATTGTTATGACCATACTCCTGGTTGTGCTTTACAAATACAGGTGCTATAAGGTGAGCACATATACCCCTATTGCTAATTAATTATGCTAATGTTTTATTATTCATTTAAATGCACTCTCATGAAAAGAGCAATCATGTGTAACTAAACTAGCAGCACCAGTTGCAGAGGTTCCCTGCTTTAGTTTTTGGAGGAGAATGGGCCAGGTAGTACGTAGTCTTGCATGGAATAAAAGTGCACAAGGCATTACCAATAATAAAATGCACTTCAAGAGACATTTTTTGGAGGGTGACAGTATGTCACCTGCAATCAGGGCTCAAAAAATACATAATACTATTGTTAATGAGAGCTCAAACTTAGTCTAGATGAGGGTCACATTAACTTGCTATAACCTAGAGTCTCCATATGTCAAAGCTCTATGTTATGCTTGTAGGTATGGGCTACATTTGGCCCGGTGATCGTGCTTTTTTCCTTTAATCGTCAGTAAAGAGGATGTGGAATAACAAAATGACATACTGTCTTTTAGTCAAACCCTTGAGTATATGTGAATTTGCTGTCAAATTCACTCCTTGCCACAACATTTAGTTTCAACTTCTGTGATTTTTGGGGAGGAGTTGCTAACTTGCAGTGACGCTGTAAAAAATAGTCTTTTGAAAATGTTGCCACATTTTGATAGAGGCAATGGCATCTGCTTGATCCTGCAGACACTCTGGAGCAAGTTTTATGAGGTGTTCATTTTCCTATTTGTTAGAATGGCTCACTTAACTCAAAAAACCTAACCGATAGTTTAAAAGTTATTTACATTATTTCACTGTTGGTCATTTTAGTAGAAACAGCCAACTGTTGTGCTTAAACCCACAATCCCAAACTGTCTCTTGGGTCTCCCCAAATGTCAAAAGCCTCACTTGCACTTACCAAGCTGCCAAACCCACTAGCTTCCCCTTAGCCACTTCCACAGTGTAGTTATGCCCTATAATTACAAAAATCACTAGCATATCATAAAGTAAATTTATAAACTGCATAAAACTGAAAAAATAAATACTGGAGCTTTGGCAGTGATAGTATCTATTTTCATATTTGTTTTATGAAAAATGTTGAATTTTTCAATGTAAATGACGCTAACACAATATCTCCAGCCTTCTGCACCAAAGTGCTGCAAAATCCAGGAAACCAGTTGCTGAACATAAATCTAGTTTTCTGCTGAGTATGTAGAGAATCATTGTTAGTCTACTTTTCAATGAACAGAAACAAATTTCTAACAAAGCAATATTTGACATCCCAAATGGTGGCGATATGCTTATCTGCTTTGGTCATCTGTAGTGCCTTTTATTGAGGCATTATGTCTGAAAAAACACCTTTGAGGTAGGGAAATTATCCCAATTTTCCAAATGGAAAAATTGAAGGCCAAATGTGAAGTGTCTTGCATGAGGTTACGGAACAAGTCCTGATTTCAGATCCTGACTCACAACCAGAAAACATCTCTTCTCAGCTTGTCTAAGTCGCTGCTTTTTTTTTCATTCACTTTTATTTTTACCTTAATTCCCCCATATTTTACTCTGTTAAAGCAAATTCTTTACTGACAGAGCTCCAGATTTAATTCCCTGTATTTTGCAAACCTTGGCAATTCACTTTTATTCAGGTTTTAACAGGCAGGCTGACTCTGTAGCAACAAATCAGTTAGTGTAGGAGCTGTTGTCAGGTGAGACATGGGAATGTTTTTAATCAGAAGTCAAGAAACTTGCCATGACATGTTATGAAATATGTTGGATAACAATTGTCTGTCCCATAAAATGTGTTGAGAAACTTCTGAGAAAAGGACAGGTGGTTTTGAAAGCCTTATAATGTGGAGGAGGGAACAAATAACTGGTGTGGAAAGTATTCTGATTCACCTAACTGTTTCAGGTAGGTGGTTCAGTGAGGCTACTCACAGTAGTTACTGCAACATTTATACATGTACTTATTAGGGTCTTAGAGCAGTGGCTTTCAACCTTTCCAGATTACAGAATCCCCTTCAGGAGTCTGATTTGTTTTGTGTACCCTCAAGTTTCACCTCCTCACTTAAAAACTATTTGCTTACAAAATCAAACATAAAAATACAAGAGTGTCACAGCATACTATTACTGAAAAATTGAATAGGGTTCTCATTTTTGCTACATATTTTGTAAAGTAAATTAATTGTAATATAAATATTGTACTTGTATTTTAGTATATAGTATAGAACAGTATAAATGAGTCGTATGCAATTTTATTTTGTACTGACCTTGCTAGAGCTTTTTATGTAGTCTGTTGTAAAGCTAGGCAAATATCTAGGTGAGTTGATGTACTACTTGTGTACCTCTTGTTGAGAACCACTGCCTTAGAGTAATGCACTGTTTGGCATTTGTTAAGTAGAACAGACCAGCTCTTTTGCTAGAACAGAACATCAGTATTCAGGCACACTACCTCCTGGTCTCCTCTCTTCCTAGGCACTGGGACAGTTTTCTTTGGGGTTTTCTTATTCTAATTTCTTTCTTTATTTTTAACATATCCTGTCCATCGAAGTTTTTAACAATAAAATCCACTCTTCTGTTCTGTCAGAATGTATATGTAGCCATATGCATTATTTGTAAAGCTGTTTCTCTTTCATTTTCCTGTTGACCCCAAACTTCAAAGTTCTTCCCTTTGTTACAGTGGTGACAGAAATTTGACATCTTCCCTGCCAATAGCATTAAAAACAGAATGCTTAATGCCAAAGAAAAGCTCCACAGGTTTTATTTTTTGAGAAGACTCTCTGATAAAGAGACCTACCTGTGAGGTCACTCAGGCTTGCCAATGAATCTTGAGGTTTTATTTAGATGCATGGTAAAGAATGGTTCAAAGGAAAAAAACAAAAGTGGAAGCAATGCTGCAGAGGATTCTGAACACATTTATGAAAAATATATTTGAAACTTGACTCTCTTTTGTTAGAAGGTTGTTGATGTTTCACTGATATTTATTCTACGTACATGAAACAGAAATAATCTTTGAGGTTACACATTACATTTCATAATTTTTTTTATTGTTTTAAAAGTTTAAAGTCCAATATAAACTCCTCACAAAGATGTAAATATGGAAAAAAACATTGCAATTCAGAAAGATCAAGTTTTCTTGCATGTATAGTTATTTTTAGCAGTAAATTCTGTTCTGAATCTGGCTTTAGCACAGGTAGGATTTCTTACGCCATTTTATACCCAGTTCAAGCAAGTACTATAAATTACTTCTGACTTCTTTGTCTGCAAAGAAATTTAAACTAGATGTGGGGTCCATGTCTTACTTTGTATGTGAGGTTCCTTGTCTACAGAATAAAATATTTCTTTTTTTAACTTATTTCATATCTCATTGCACCTCAAAGGTTCTCCTCTTAAGGCCAGAATTTACCTAAAGTCTTTAGCAAGTTGGAGTTTTTTATTTTCTTACCGTTCTAGGAATCTGTTTTTCTGAAGAGACTGTTTCCCTCCTTCATTCATGTTTGAAAGATCTCTTCTATTTCTTTTTCCCTAGGTTTTGGATGATTTGCTACCAGTTTGATATGGCATTTCAGAACTTTGTTTTTTGTAATCAGGTACTTAGGAAATCTAGCATTTTGTCGTCTTGAAGCCTGTCCATTCAGATATGATCATAGTTATAGGGCTTTCCAAATTCTCTTCAAACTTTGTTTTTAGTCTGGGACATGAGTATGAAGGGCTTGTCCCTAAGTTATGTTTACTCTTTAAAACAAGGTTCGTTTTTTTTTTTTTGTTTTGTTTTTTTTGTTAAATACATGTAGGTTTTGCTAGGCTTCAGTCTCAACACACTGTTGTCTTATTGATATACATGGTGACCTATTTTACTATCTAATTGTGTGATGTGTATAGATCAGTGGTTTTAAAACTTTTCTTTTCTCGTGACCCAGTTGAAGAAAATTGTGATGCCTGTGACCCAGCATAATTATATTGTTTGATTAGAGTGCAGGCTCCAGGGTGGGGCCACAGGGATAAGGGGTTGAGGGTAGAGTAGGTGAAGGCTTTGGGGTGGGGCGGTAGGTTACAGGGGTATAAGCTCTGTCTGCGGTTGCAGGCTATGGGATAGAACTGGGGATGAGGAGTTTGGGGTACAGGAGGTGTTTCTGGGTTTGAGTGCTCATGGCTGGGACCAGGAGATTGTTGGGGCAGAGGCTTACCTCTGGTGGCTCCCACTCAGTGTTGCAGTGGGATGAAAAGGATGACTTCCTGCCTATCCTGGCATAGTGGACCACACTGCATCCTGGAAGTGGCCATCAATAAGTCCAGCTCCACAGGCGGCTCCCACCCCAACCTCTGGCTTCACATTTTCATTGGCCGGTTCCTGGTTTGTCACACGGTATTGTCAAGCAAAAATGGATGGAGCTCAATTTGGGCTTGGTTTGAAATAGGATTGTCTTAATTATTTGGCTAGTTTTGCTTTTTTAACTTGAGAGTTGGCTACTCATCTCCACCTAGGAGCTGTACCTGCTGCTGACCGCTTCAAAGGTGCAGCACAGTTTGCAGTGCCAGGACAGGCAGGAAGCTGGCTGTAGCACCCCTACTGGTCATCTTGTCACCCTACAGCAAGGCGACCCAGTCCCTGACTTTCTGCAACCCAGAACTGGGTCACGACCCATACTTTGAAAATCAATGGTATAGTTCACTCAGGTTAGGTGTGTTTTATTCTATACAAAGGGCAAATGCTAACGCTGTTTACTTTCATTCATTCATTCATTCATTCATTCATTCATTCATTCATTCATTCCTTACATGACTTTGCACTTGTACACCACCCTTTTATTCAAGGATCCCAAAGCAATTTTCAATGGATGGGTTATGTAGTGTCACCATTTTAAAAATGGGTAACTCGGGCACAGAGGTCAAGGGACTAGCCAAAATCAATGTAGCAGCACAGAGTAAGGTATGGAGCCGAAGACTTCTGAATCTCATTCCCCTGCTCTAACCACCAGGTATTAATATTGGCCTCTTAGAGAGGCTGGATGGGGTCATGTATAAATGATATTCTGAACAATGGCTCAGATATTGCTATATCCTGCTTATGAATCTGAAACTTGTAAGATTTGAAATGGAGATCTTTATTGATATCTCTCTCTCTTTTAGGTGATCCATGGGTGGCTTATAATTTCTTCTCTATTGCTGCTTTTCTTTTTCTCATTCATCTACTTGGGGTAAGTCTACAAGAGTTTCAATTTCTGTCTCTTTACCATAAGCATGTGTAAACAATTGCCCATATTCCACTGTGGTAATTGGTATGGGTCAGCCATGCAAAGAGTGTTTATTTGGGAACAATCTAAAGACTTGTTCCACTGAAAGGATTCAGCTCTGCATGGAAAAACACACTTTGGTTTATATCTAATGGAAGTTATGCACTTGCATCTACAACTAATAGACTCCTGTTTCTAGGGTTTGTGCTTGCTCTGTAAGCCATATCCTGAAGCAGCACATCAGCATCTCATCACGAATGACCATTTAACAGTATTCTGTATCATCAGCAAGCTCAAGCACTGATTTTTCTCAGGCTAGAGGAAGTTACCAATGACTTGGAAAGTACCCTGTAGTACTGGGGAAAGTACCAAGGTAGTTTTTTCCATAATCATTTAAACTTCCTAAATATAATTATTTCACAGAATATTTTGTTCTCTTAATTTAAAAAAAAAAATCAGTTTATTAGTTCCCAGGACAATCTCTGAGAAGCTGAAGCATGCATGCTACAGCCAGTTTCCCTTGCGTATTTGACAAAGTGGTACCATGTGTCTAATTAACATTCCAGCAAGCTAGCATTCATTTGTACGCCAGGATTTTGTTTTGTTTTGTGTTAATTTATTTATAAAATGGAGGATCATAGGTTAGTCAAGATCCTTCGCATTTGCTGGCAGCTTTTTGATATATGACTGAGAAGGAAATGAGAAAGTCAAAGGAAGACTGTACTGCAGAAAACTGAACAGTAAATCTGAAATAGTTCAAATGAAATACTCCATGTAAAACTACCTTTTCCTCAAAAAGCTAACCTTTTCTTTGAGTTGTCAGATCTAATTGTGATGTAATAAAAGAGCAGCTTTGTTTGTCACAACATTGAGCATAAAGTTTTAAAATCTGATGCTAAAGTTTGCCACCTGTGTTTTTCCCCTTTGCTTTAGGAAAACAGACGACTGTTTTCTTTATCTAATCTCTTTTTCTTAAATGTTTCAGTGAGGTTTTTAAAACCTATAATGTTGCCATGGATTACATTACCCTCGCGCTTATGATCTGGAACTTTGGCGTGGTGGGAATGATCTGCATTCACTGGAAAGGCCCACTCCGGCTCCAGCAAGCATATCTCATTATGATCAGTGCTCTCATGGCCCTGGTGTTCATTAAATACCTTCCTGAATGGACTGCATGGCTTATCCTCGCGGTAATTTCAGTTTATGGTAAGACCGTAAAACATGATATCAACTATGTCGATGGCACTCTGTCTTTCTCCTTTCACTTCTTCCTTCTGTTTGATCAGACATAAAGCCCAGAGTCTAAACACAGTCAGGACAAAGGTTTTGCTAAAATGTCTTACTCAAATTCCAGGGACCAGATTGTGTTCCCTTACATCTGACCCATGGGTAAGAATTTGAATTGATTTTAAAACACAGAAGTGAATTGTAATTGCAGATGGATACCTAGTCTGAAATTCCCTGATAGTGGTAAAGATGAGGGTCTGGGTTTTTTTTCCCATATTTGTAGGAATATAGGATTAATCAGACTTGAGCAGCCCTTTGTCCATGTTAGGCCAACATTGTCCTTAGGTACCTCATGCCTCAGAGGAAGGTGAAAATGCCCCTTTTACACACAGTGCTAGATAGTTGATCCAAACTATAAATGAGGTGAGGAGAGTCTTCCTTGGCCTTCTCAGGTCAAATGCTTATTAAGTTCCTCTATCTCATCTTGTGTGAACTCAAGTATTAGCAGTTATAAGATTTTATGTATTTCACTTTAAACTACATAAGTTGTGTAGACAGGACTGTGCCATCCATGTCAAATATATTCCATAACAATAACAAACAGCAGCAATTCCTGCCTGACACAAAATAGGCAATTATATTATTATTAATAATAATTATTATTATTAATAATCCCCACCCCTCATGTTCCCAAAGGAAACCCCACCCTTGGCATCATAGCCTTCCCTAACTGCTAGTGCAAGGAAGATAGTCTTCACAGTGTGACTTGAAGGTCACAACATTTGGGCTATTTTCAACCCAGTAAGGGTGAATTCCAAGATTAAGGAGTTGCATACTGACAGCCCCATAAGCAGATCCCCATCTCATATGGTGAGGGAGCTCCAGCTTGTGTGCCTTGGTTGACTGCAGCTACTGTTCTGCTTATGCATATGGAGCACTGCTGTTGTGCTCCCAGCAGTGTAGTTCTTTTAGCAAGTAGGCTGCTGCATTCCACATTGCTTATGGCTTCAGATGGATTTAAGATTTCACTCCGGTAGAGGGCATTGCAGGAGGCTAAATGTCAGGTGACAGAGCAAGGTTAGAATCCAAAAGAAAAAGCTGCAAACACCTGATTAGCCACAAATGGCTGGGAGGGAGGAAAGCAGTGTGGATCTAATAATAATCTATATGCAACTGAGACACAAACCTGACTCTGAAATTGCAATACTTCAGTAACAAATGAAGGGGACCCATAATTGAGATGTGGGAGGTTGATCTTCCTCAGGCTACATCTACATGTAGCACTACGTGTGTGATTCTTTGCTCCCGTACACATACTTTTTCTATCTCTGAGAGCGCGCTAAAATTAGTATAGCAGTAGTGGTAACATGGCTTAGCCATGCCAAATATCTATCCACAGGGTTTAGATGGGTGTGTATTAAGCATAGCTTAGCCTTGTTACTGCTGCGCTTACTACAACGTCTGTGTTACTAGTTATACTAATGCTAGCTCCCATTGAGCTAGCACAAAGATGTGAGTCACGTCTTTTGCTTATAGTGTAGTCATAGCCTCACTGAGAATCTCCTATTTCTTCCCCAACTTGCCATTACTAGTCATTCTTTTAAAAATCCGGCGGTAGTATTTTGCTCTTGGCTAATTTCCTGTTTTAACTACAGCCAGTACCAGAGGCGTGGGAAGGAATGAACAGAAAAGGATTCATGATCTCTCTCTTCTTGTCCAGTCTGATCTAGCAGTTTGTGGTCACCCAGAGCAGAGGATTGCATCCCTGACCGTTTTGGCCAATAGCCACTGATGAACCTATATTTCATGAACTTATCTAGCCATTGTTTTTATTACCCAGTTATACTTTTGTCCTTCACATCTTCTAACAATGAGTTCCAAAGGGTTAGTGCAGTGTGTGAAGAAGTACTTCCTTACATTTGTTTTTAGAACTACTACCTGTTCATTTCATTGGGTGCCCTGGTTCTTGCGTAATGTGAATGGATAAATAAGACTTCCTTATTCACTTTATCCACACCATTCATGATTTTTAGACCTCTGTCATATCCACCCCTATTCATCTCTTTGATAAACTGAATAGTTTTTATTTGAATAGTCCTCCTTTAATCTCTTCTCTAATGAGTGGTATGCAATAGCTTTCATATTTGTTGTTGCCCTTCTCTATTTCCAATGCACATGGTGGTGGTTGTTTGTGGTGTGTGTGTGGTTTTGGTTTTGGTTTGTTTGTTTTTGCTTTTGTAATCAGAATGCACAGAGCATTCAATGCATCCAGGCATCTGTATTCATCCATAGATTTATATGATGATCAGTAGGGTATTTTAGGGTCGTCTTATTGATCCCTTTGCTAATGCTTCCTAATGTTCTGTTAGCTTTTTTTACGGCCAGTGCACGGTGTCAGAGAACTATCCACAATGATGCCAAGATCTTTCTTGAGTGGTAACAGCTAATTTACACTTCATCGTTTTGAGTGCATAAGTGTGACTGTTTTCCATTGTACATTACTTACTGTTAGCAACGCTGAATTTTATCTGCCATTTTTGTTGCTCAGTCACCCAGATTAGTTAGATCCCTTTGTAGTTCTTTTCCGGCAGCTTGAGATTTAACTATCTATAGTAGTTAATGAACTGCAAATTTTGCCACATCAGTTTGCCTTTTTTCCAGATCATATATGAATATGTTGGACAGCACTTGTCCCAACACAGATCCTTGGGTGATCCTAGGTTTATATCTTTCCATTGTGAAACTTATGATTTTTTCCTACCCTTTGTTTTCTCTTTTAACCAGTTACTTATCGTAGTGATGGCCTTCCCTCTTATCCCATGACTACTTAGTTTGCTTAAGAGCAGTTTGTGAGGGACCTTATCAAAGGTTTTTAGGTAAGCTGAATCACCCTTGTCCTCCTAAGTTTGGCTCCCTAAGATAATTCTAATATTTTGGTGAGACATGATTTTCCTTTGCAGAAGCTATGTTGACTGTTCCCCAACATAACATATATTAATCTATGTATCTGATAATTTATGTTCTTTATAGTAGCTTCAACGATTGCCCTGATGCTGAAGTTAGGCTTAATGGTATGTAATTGCCAGGATCACCTCTGGAGTCTTTTTTTTAAAAATGAATATATTCCATTAACTATGCTCCAGTCTTCTGGTACAGAAGTCGATATAAGTGATAGGTTGCATGCCTCTAGTAGTAGTTCTGCAGTTTTATATTAGAGTTCTTTCAGAACACCATCTGATTCTGGTCACTTTTTACTATTTATCAGTTTTTTTTCCTAAACCACCCCTATTGACATCTTAAACTAGCACAGTTACCGTATATACTCGAGTATAAGCCGGCCCGAATATAAGCCGAGGCACCTAATTTTACCCCAAAGAACTGGGAAAAAATATTGACTCGAGTATAAGCCTAGGGTAGGAAATGAGGCAGCTACTGGTAAATGTAAAAAATGAAGATAGATACCAATAAAATTACATGAATATTTATTTCAAAGAAAAACAATAACCTAGCTCTGTAAGTGGAAAAGGGGGTCAACAAAAACAATATGGTATCAAAATACCGTAACTTTAAAAGTACAACAACCTTAGCTCAATCAGCAACCAAGCTAACACACAAGAGCTAAAATCCTTCAAAACTGGAGTTCTCCTCCTCATCATCTGTATGTCCAAACAGAGCTTCAGCTGGTGTGAGGTTATCAGCATAGACATTGTCATCATCACTGAGTTCACAGTCATCACCATCACTGCTGTCGTTCTCATACAAAGCGCTGTCTTCACTGCCATCCATAGCATTACTAATGCCACATTTCTTGAAGGCGCGTTGCACCAGGTCCTCTGGAATCTCTTCCCATGCATCACGAACCCACTGTGCTATCAATTCTATGTCTGGCTTCCTCAGATTTCCAACTTTTGTCAGTCGAGCTTGACCAGATGACATCCATTCATGCCACATCTTTCGCACACGGTCTTTGAAAGGTTTATTTAAACACACATCTAGGGGCTGCAATACAGATGTAAGCCCACCTGGGCTTGGGGGGGACAAGGGGACAGGGGGGCTGAGAGGGTCAGGAGGGCAGGGGCCGGAAGGGCCAGGAGGGCAGGGGCTGGGGGGCCGGAGCTCTGGGCTCACGCGGCTAGACCCGGCCGGCGGCAGAGACGCGCTGAGCCCGCCCGCGAGCAGGAGGCTGACTCGAGTATAAGCCGAGGGGGGCATTTTTCAGCACAAAAACTGTGCTGAAAAACTCGGCTTATACTCGAGTATATACGGTACTCAGTATTGTCACCTAAAACTAACGACTTGGGTATGGGACTCTTCCTCACATCCTCTATAATAAAGAAGGTTGTGCTCTATAATGGCCTTCTCTTCATTAAGTGGTGCTTTAGCACCTCGATGGACAAGTGGCTGAACTGAATTCTTTGAGGGGTGTTGTTTCTGCTGCACTTGGAAAAAAATTGCTATAAGTTTTCTTTTCTTTTGGGTAGCTGCTGTTCATATTTTATTTTTGGCCTCCATAATTTTATTTTTACACTTGGCTTCTGTTTCCAGCAGGATTTGTCTTCCAGTATTTGAAGCAGAGTTGGGGAACCTAAGGGCTGGGGACCAGATGTGGCCCCTGGCTTTCCTGGATCTGGCCCCTGAAGCTCAGGGCTCCCCCCCCAACATTGTGGGGGAAAGGAGCTCCAGCCTCCCCTCCCACTCCACCATGCGGTTGGAGCACACAATCTACTAGCCTAGGCCCACCTAGGCTCTGGTGTGCGAGGGGAATGTGGGGAATGTCTTTCTCCTCAGTTGGGGGCCACGTCAGTGAGGGTTTGGGGGGGATTTTTGCTTCTCACTTGTGTGCGACCTCTGACCCACTCCTGGTTTAAAGCAGGGCTGCTCAACACATGGGCCACATGTGGTCTGCTTCCCCTTTGTTTGCGGCCTGCAGTGTGGTTTGGGTTTACTTGGGGCTCAACATGCAGCCTGCACATGGGATC